CATTTAGTTAATACCAAGGCCGTCTGTCTTCTGTTTTCCATCTATGAAGGGAACTGTTTGTTTGCCAATGAATGGAGAGATGTTGATTGAAGAGTAGATTTTATATTTCCAAAAATGGAGAACCAATCATTGTTTAATTCTTTACTCATCCAGGCAACTTTCTGGAAAGTCTTGGATGCAATTTGATGCCACTCATTAATCTGATAAGACCCTGTTGGAATACATGCAGATTGCCCTCACATTCCACTGAAGACTCTAATTTTGGCAGTCTCTTCATGCCATTTAAAGATGATGAGTTGCATAAAACTGATGAATTCATCAAGTATTCCATGTGTGTGTGAAGCTTTTCCAAAAATATCATGAGAATGACAGATTTTGTTACAAAAGGGAAAGGCAAGTTTTGAAATGGCATGCATTTATGAATTCTCAGAACAACAATAAACAGTGAAAACTAAAAAAGCCATTCATCTACTGTCTTCCTTTAAAAAAAAACCCTCAAAAGGTTGAGAACCCATCAATCTGGATATTTAAAAAAACTAACATAGAAATGAACCTGAACCTGAACCTGAAACAACAGTTAACCAGGCTGTCAGCAAGAAACATGTTCAAAGACAAACTTGACAATTCTGCCACTTACTTCAATGGATTTCAACAAATGCAGTGACTCGATTTATTGACATTTATATAGACTATAAGCTATCATGCTCCAAAACACACATTAAAGTCTGAAGCAATTATGTATTTAGAGCATTTACAGCATGTATGGCTGCCAACGGAGGGGTAAAAACAAATACACGCTGGTTGTTTTGTTTGTGTACAGATTGCCAGAAAACGAAGGTCCATGCCACTCTACCCTTATGAAACTGTGAATTCATTAAAATTCATTCGGTTTTACTGCCTGCCTTAGTCAGTTTTCCACTGCCGTTCTCTCTTTTAAAAATTAAGGAATCCATGAACAAACTGGTTTAAGAGGTTACATTTATTTTATGTGGTTTGCAAGATAAATAGAAGTCCTCAATTGTCATTGTCAACATGTAAATTATGTAGATTGATTTTTTTTTTTTTTTAGAGATTTTCTTATCAGCTTTCTGGATTGTCCAGGTGATCATACAACACCACAAGTCATTTGGGTAGTTCCAGGAAGTAGTGCTGTTATCTACTATCACCCTTAACTAGCATGGTCAATTATTATAGATTGGGGAAGGCTCAAATGTCCTGATCAATGCCTGTTCTCCAGGTTTCCCTGCTCCTCTTTTACAAGATTCTTTTTTGTTCTTTTCAACCCATCAGAATGTTGGAAATAAATTATACAAAATACTCATAACTCTGTCTGTCTGTCAGCAGGAGAACTTTCTGAAAATTCAGCTGCAATGGACCAAATTTGGAGTGGTGGGAGAAGCTGGCAAAAGAAAGATTGAGTTAAATCTTAGTTTAAATCAGTTAAATCTCAGCTGGGTTTGCTGAGCAGCTGTGGAAAAAAACAAATCCTGATGGGAAAAATAATTGGACACGGGTTCAGAATGCCATTGACACCTCCATTCTAAGCCTCATTCTCTCTTCTCTTCTAGTTATGTGACCTGGAGTGGGGGATACGCAGCCTTTCCTATGCTTCTCAATGCACACATACAGACTAAAACACCAGTTGCAGCATAGTGGGAGAGTAGAAACACTCACTCACACATAGAGGCTCCATATTTGCACCTACCCTGATCAAACCTTCTCTCTGATGCATACATGGAAGCAACATAGCAGCCTTGATTAAGCCCTTACAGATACTAACCCAGAGGCAACCCACTTTGATTAATCCCTGGGGAGAAAGGGCATATGCATACACATGCTCACAGATGCAACGCATCACTATATTACAGAGAAGAAAATACATCTGCCTCCTATGGCTATTGTTGGTGAAGGGTCTGGAAGATACTATAAGCTATGCAATGCATGATTTTTCTACTTTATTTAAACTAGAGATGCCAGAGATTGAATCCAGGCTAGTCTGTATATAATGTGCGCACTCTGTTCAGTAGACATTTTGGTAATTGAGTAGACCTTTTGGAGCTCTGCTTCTTTGACTTTTGATCTGTCCCAAATTACTGGGATTTATTGCTAGACTACAGGAAAATAAATAAAATGCACAAGAAGGAAGAGAAATCGTTTGTTTATACTTTTTTTAAAAAATCTAATTTATACCCTATCTTTGTGTCAGCCTCCCTTTTTTTCCACTTTGTTGAATTCTGCCTCATTTAAATGGGTGGCTGAAATGATTCACTAGAGTAGAACAGAGGAAAATATAGCAAGAAGGAAAAACCCTTGGCAGGAAAGCTGGTTTTGCATTAAAAAAAAAAAATAGTTAAATTTCACTATACAGAAAATGGAGGAATAGTAAAAAAAAAAAAAAAAATTCCAATCAGACCACTGAGTGTGTATGAGTATGTGTTTGTGCATGTGGATTGTATGTGAAAACTTACAAGGACAAAATTCTAAACCAAACAAGGAGAAAGTATTAAAAGCAACATGAAATGAAGATGTAAAAATAACATCTATCAAGCAACTTGACTGTCTAACAAATAACTGCATTAGAGGCTTTCAAATACCTTTCTGAAATTGTAGCAATCCTATGACATGTAATTTTAAAAACCCGAGCTGCAGTGAAATTTATGTGCTCACTGTCTAGAACACATTTGGCTCACTCAGACACAGAATCTGTCATTTGAAATGCAGATTAAAGTAAATATTCTTTCATGATGGAGCTCAAAAACCTAGTAACTGCATGGACACCTCCTTGCAGTTTTCTTGGCATTTATCCAGAAGACCTTTGGCCCTGCCTTCTTCCAAGAGGTTTTGGTGACTTCCCAATCTACAGCACTGAAATTACCTAGAATTTAAATTGTACAGTATTTAATTTATTCAAAAACACAACAGTAAGCAAATCCCAGATGGGCGTTGGGCTTAGAAAAAAAAATTGGATTCAAAGAGCATGGGATATAATGGATAAGGTGTTAGAGTAGCATCTAGTAGATCCAGGTTTTATTCCACTCTCAGCAGTGGAAGCTCACTGGGTGACTTTGGATCATTCACTTCCTCTCAGCCCAATCTCCCTAACAGTTTGGTGGGAAAGTAGGAGAAGAGAGCATTATGTATGCTGCCTTGAGCTCCTATATGAAAGACAGAATATAAATCTGATAGATGGGTGGATGCATGTATAAATCAATAAGGACTTGAACACCAATAAAGTAATATCTTTAATGCACTCTTATAATTTACTGCATCAAAACCTCTGGATGGATTGGATTTTCCTTCCTAAAGTCTTTACTCCATAATATTCCAGAATGGTGTTAAAGTTGTCTTCTTCACTTGGCCAGATCTACACCCAGGAAGACTCATAGAACAAAAAGCAATCTGGCAAACTTCTCTCTGGTTCTTTAACCACTGAAATAGATTTTCATCTTAATAGACATTAATCTATTTGACTGGAACAATGGGCTTTTGTGTCATCCACACATTGTGTCAAATGGATAGATGACACAAACTTACAATAGCCAAAATAAAAGAATGAGATTGCAATCCAGTTTGGACAGGTTGGAGAAGACATGTGAAGCCCTTCTTCCCCTCTTCTCTGCACTGGTAAAACCACACTTGGAGCACTGTGCATGATTCTAGACACATTTCCAGACGAATATTGACAGGTTAGAACATGTTAACTACTTCTCACTTTAACCTACCTCACAGAGGTCCTGAGAAAATGGAGTAGCTTAGGAACTGTATGTATGCACATATGTTCCTGATGTAGATCCTGAACTCCTATAAAGATACTGAGTCCAAATTACAAAAAACAACCTGATAAGCAAAGCAGGAATAGAACTGTGAACTGAATGGATCAGTAATAAAAAATAATGCGCTATCATTTAAACAATATAGCTGGGAAGAGTACAACAGGCTGGAGCGGTTTTTACAGGAAGAAACCTCTAGCACACAATAAGACATTTTGTGTGGTTTTTACATGGCAAGCATATCAGGAAAACCAGCCCTCGGTGACTAAAATCTTGTTAATAAAGTCACACTGATAAACAAGAGAGGCAGAATAATATTGCATTTTAATTTGCCAGGTGCAAAGCTGACTAGAAGCAAAGCTAACTGAACAAAATAAAGCATAAAAATCTAATATAAAATGATTAAAGCAACAATGTACTATTGGGGAGCCACAAATGCAAGAAGCAAGGTTTGAAGGAGTTCCATAATGCCTACCAGGCCCACCTGGAGAGTGATCAATCCCACCTTGATTACTGTGCTTAGTTCTGAGCATTGCATTTAAAGAAGCATTCAGACAAATAGATTCAGAGAAGGGTAATAAGGAGATTAAAGGAACTGGGAAGAGATGATCAGGTATGATACCGCTTGAAAGGACATCACACAGAATAAAGTCAAGTTTGGTTCTCTATCATTTCAGTCTGCAGGACATGGAATAATGGACCTAAGATACAGGAAGACAGATTCTAATTGGAAGTCAGGAAAAGAATATCTAACAGTATTTTGCTATTAGAACCAATAACTGATGGTTTCATCTGCTGAAAATGATTTAATTTGGATCTCTGTACTGAACAAAGCTTAGACTTGATAGCCTAAATAGATACATAGAAATGTATGATGCTGTGGAAATGGGGATAGATAAAAGCCAAGAGTGTTTAAGTGTTAGTCCCAGTGGAATAGATGTTTACTTCCTGCTTCAGGCAGAAAAGTGTTTTGCGTGGGGACTGTTTAAAATCACAGAAAAGGAAGAAATCAGAGATTCGGTGAAAGAAAAATGAGGTGACAGTACAGCCAAATGCCAGTACATTGTTCTCTAAGGTGGTACAGGCACCCATTTTGCTCAGCTCTAGCCAATAATTCAGCTTGTATCTGAGATTTCCATAAAAGCTTGCACAACAGTGGTGTGCTATTCCTCAAGGTACCTCCAGGTTCTCAATCATTTTAAAATTGTTGTATCTAGAAGGTGTTCTTACCTGCTTCCTTGGTTCGGATCACTTTAGATGGTGTGCTTGGATCTCCAGTTCCAATTTTGTTAGTTGCTACAACTCTAAATTCATATTCTACCCAAGGGTTCAGTTCAACTGCCATGGCAGACTCCAGGTCACCCCCTATGTGTTCAGGAACTGTGAAGAACAAGGGAGTACTCCATTAAAAGCATGCAATCTAGAGTTTATCCGCAATAACTAAACTGAAGCTAGAGGAAACAACTCAGAGTTGGTGGCACAATGAAGAATTTGATCTTTGCAAATTTCTATACAGATCTGCTCTTTCAGATTCATGATCAAATATCCAACAGATTCCAAATTTCTCCAAACTTTGCAGTGCAGATTTTGGCAGTTTAAATATATCTAGATAAATATTTAAACACCATTTGGAGAGGGAAATGTTATTTAAATAGTTATTTTTAAGAAAAAAAGATACACATTTAATTTAAATTAGGGATAAACTTATCTTTTAATTTCTCTCCACCTTTTCTTTTATGCTTTAAATTATTTAAAGCTGTGTATTTGGTGGCATGGCATCAGAAGAGAATCTGAGTGCTGCTTCCACCTTGTTTTATCCTGAAATGCATTTTGATTAAGATTACCATCTTATGAGCCTTATGAGAAAACCCTAGACTTGACTTTTGAATATCCCTCTTGAAAAGTAAAGAGGTGATAAAGGGACCCACTAGAGGAGGGGAAACCAATCTTCATACCTTCAGTGAGATTGTGGAAGAGTCCACAACTGTTGTTCTTCCAGCACTGGAACTTCAACTCAGGAGGCACACAAAAAAGGATTTATATACTGGTGTAGGTTTTCATAGCCAGTATCTGTTGGGCTTCAGGATTTAGTGACCATGGTCTAGAGAACAGATTTCCTGATGCTTTGATGGCAACTGTGGCTGGCATTTTCAGAGGTAAGGTGGTCTGCTATGTAGACCACAGGCAAGTGAGCAGGGACTGACTGGGCTCCTCTCCATATAGCCAGGTGTCCTCACTTCTGAGTGGCCTTTAGCCAAGGTAGTTTCTGATTGGTTCAGGTTGATGAGGGCTGGTCTCTGATTGGTTCTTTGTTTGTGCCTAATCCTGAGGAATTATCTATACATTATAGGCATGCTATGCTGGAAAAAAGTATGAAAGCACATTCTGCAAAACACTTCTGTGTCCTTGTGATGTTATAGAACCTGGATAGAAGAACTATACCAGCTTTGGATTGCTATAGTTCATTTCACTCTCACTGAGACAGAAAAGTGTACAAAAAGAAAATGGACAGAAACTACCAAATAAAATAAGGAAGAAAAACCATGTCTTGCTAATTTCCCATACACTGGTGTGAACTGGAAAAGGCACTGGAAAAAAGTGATCGTGTCCTTCAGTTCCTCTTCTCCATATTAAGACTGTTCAGTTCAAGTAACTAATGAATCCCAATTCAACCAGCTTGATTAATGCTAAATAAAATAAAAATCCCTTGCCTGTTTTCACAGTCTGCCAGCCAAGTGAAAATGGACTTCGTGCTTGCAAGTTGTAGGAAGTGATAGGACTGTGATTGTCTGCTCCAGGAGTCCATGAAAGGGTTGCAGTGTTCTCTGTGATTTCTTCAACTATGACAACTCCAGGAGGCCCAGGTGGACCTGGAAGGAAGGAAGGAAGGAAGGAAGGAAGGAAGGAAGGAAGGAAGGAAGGAAGGAAGGAAGGAAGGAAGGAAGG